TATTTATATGCTCTGGATCAAATTGAGTATGATATTATAGCCCTATCATTTGGCTATGGCCCTGTTTTAAATGTATATTTACATCAGTAATTTGTTTGCTAAATCTTACAGAAATTAAAAAATGTCTCCACTTAATGTTTAGATTAGTTGATGGAATCACTTGAGACAGACTGTTGTCCGGTAACATTTCGATTAGACCAATTCGTCATTGCACTTTTTCTGGACCCTTTTTAATTGGTAATGTACGTTGGTTGTGGGTGAAATTTACAAGGTATTATAAAAGGAATACGTCTCGTCATGTCCCTAGCGTATTGGCTATGGCAATGTTTTGGGCTTGTCATTCTATAAAGACATTAAGACAGTATAAATAGCGAAAATAAGAAAGGTTGAACTGAGATACTGACACGGAGACGGTATGTTAGCGGTAGATTTTAGAGGGCGTCAGCTTAGCTCTACCCAAACTGTTGATCTTGACGCGAACTCTACCGGCTTAAATCTAACCTCTGAGAAAAGGGTCGCTTCATGCCGTACCTTCAATTTATGAGTACTACCGACTACAGAACAATCTGACAACAATACTACAAAAACCTCCCGTGTAAGTATAGTGAACGTGTGTTGATGGCTGTAACAGATAAGACACGAGACAATCTGAAACGCTCGCTCCCAAACGCAAAGTCACAAGCGTCGGGTACCTTAACTCTCTAAAGAGACTTTTAACGGCCACCCTTTTAATCATAGCTCAATCTTTAAAACATATGCCAACAAGGAGAGCGCGCGATTCGGCTGACATAGTGTGTATCAACAAAGTATCCCAACCAATCTATGTCAGCCAAATCGCGCGCTGTATGCACACGACTTTGCTAACACGAGGTACCGCCCAACTAAAAAACGTAAAATCACGTGCTATACAGGTTCAGCACGATATATTGCATAATTAAGATAGGCTGTGACATACGTCCTCCTATATACGAAAAATGAAGCGCATTGGCCTAGTTTTTGTGCACACATGTTCTTGTTCACAATTATTTAAATATTTCAAGTTGACCATGTTTATCCGACGGCATGAGGACATCATGCGGTCGATTTCCCGTTGCTTGAGTGCATTTAACTTTGTTGCGCTAGGGAAAGATTTTCCAGAGATCCACGCGTACGTGCCGGGCAAGGCTTTATTTTGGCCAAAGCCGACTGACGAATGGCATAACCATCGACCTTTCCACGTCGCCAAAGGTGCCTCCTAGAGGTCCACGGCACCAGATCCACACAACCAGGCCTCCTGTCGTTCTGCATGGTACGCACAGCCATGATGGCTGTTCGCTAGCCGCGCGTTAGCACACGTCGCAGTTGCATACGTACGTGCTCTAGCCCGGATCCCTTTTCTCGAAAAATAACATTCTACTAGGTGCCGAACAGTGTGCTGTCCTTGAATGGTCCTGGTGAAACGAAGAAAGCCCTGGCTACCTGCGAAGGCACGAGAACGGTAGAGAATACCTTGCCTGAGTAAAAAGCCGCTTAGTTTCTAACCTTCTCGGAGTACACTGGTGTCCACCAGCGGTTCGCCTGTTAATGTGTTGCGACGTCGGCGTTGCTATAAAGGTGCGATTGAGTTCGTGGACTGACCAGTGATTCAAGCTGCAGTCCTGTTATATGTCCCGTGGTGCCTACGTAACAATCCCACCAGTAACCGTCCTATTTCTCTGCCATGAATTTCCCACCACCGGATTAATTCAGTATATGGGATTACTCTCCCTACCGATGAGAAGGTTAACGAAATGTTTCGCCATCTTTCGAATTTTACCCCACTAAAGTCGTACACAGTTCCTCTAGTAGAGACCGCTTGGCGTTTACGGCCTTACTGAGCGTCTCCTCTGCCTTTCTGTAGTTACAGAAGGAATGATCCGACGAGCCGACCTCCTCCTGGGGAAAGCGGTCGTATAGTTTCTCTTAAGCTGTCTGTCCTACATCGATCGAATCAAACCAAGCGCAGGTCTCTTTTTTCACATGCCCACGTTTCCGCCACACAGCCTGCTTCGATGCCCGTCTCTTTTTATTTGTGCGCCACTTCGGCATCGTTACGTCGATTTCCATCAAGGGCAATTCCCAACAAAAAAAACTGTTCCAGTGGCCCTTACGCGATTTCGATCACATCGCCAACCATTCACAGCCATTACCAAAGTGTGTGTGTATTTATTCATATATATCGTTTTTCTTATTGTATTCCGTTTCACTGCTAATCGGTCAACGCTGGTTTTGTTAGTGTTCTAGTTCAGAGATAGATTTTTTTACGTGAATTTGTTTTTGTTCGATGGTGCTTTCCAGTTCTCTATCATGTCCGCGTACCCGTGTCCATTTAAATCTTGTGTGGGCGCTTACCCTTCACTCGCTCTGTATGATTATCATTTCTCTTCCGGTCGTCATAAATGCAGCCACAGCTAGTCACAACAACCAGCAGCAGCAGCAGCAGCAGCAGCAGCATCAGCAGCAGCAGCAGCAGCAGCAGGTGGCAGCAGCTGCGACGCACCATCTGCAGTCTTCACAACGTCAACATGTACATTCAACGCCATCAACAACAGCGTCGGCACCACAAAGACAACAGCAGCAGGACCAACTGTCGCACAACAGTTCCACTCAAGCAGGCCATCGAAGACCAGGAAATCTCATCGTGATGCCCAATATTCTTAGCACTGTGAGTACTACTATACGACATACAAATTAACCGATACGTGCCTGCCTATTTGTACATGCGGCCTAAGTAGTATTTGGATATACATATGTTTCTATTTGCGCTTAATTACATCTAAACCTATGACGTTGTTTACATCTGTGGCACGACGACAGCTATAGAATAGAGCGGTAAAAACAAGTTTCTAACGAATTATGGAATGATTTGTGTTTTTACTGTAAAATCTACCATGGAAGGCTCTTGTTGAATCTACGTTCTGCGCCTAACTAACTTCTGTTTATAATAGTAATTTCTGCAATAATCAGTGCAAATCTTTGCTTGCTATTTGAAAATAATACTAATACACCTAGCTGGATAGAAAATAATCATGGATAAATAGTTTGTCGCAATCTCGCTTCGGTATAAAGAAAAATATCGCTTTCAAGAGAAGAACCAGCCTTGGGGAGCGCCTTAAGAAGCCGACAATTGCTACACAGATACCCGCACCATTGCATAATCCTATGTTTCAAGTTTTCCGTCCGGTATCGTTGTTAGGCAAATTTTCCAAACGTGTCACACAAAATTAGAAACGAAACAGGAAACAATGAAGCTATTTGCTCTGTTTGTGTCTTCCTATATAAGCAGAGTGTCACGTTTGTTTGTATGCACTGATAGCTATTGCTGTACGCATCAATGCGTTTGGGTGTGTATCTTGGAAAGAAGCCGTTAATATACAAAGACTCTTAAGAAGTTTCATTTATAGTGCTCCTAAAGAAGTGATAGGATCTGAGTAGCCTATTAGTGTAACGCGCGTAGAGTGGCTTTACTGGAGGCTTTTTAATAATTCCTTTAGATGGAATTCCTGGATGGAACTCGAGATATTCCATTTCGGTAACTATATAAGTTATTTTACTGTATGATAAAGTATATCCCGGTTTCGGCACTAATATGAAACGAATGAACCCGAACTGGCCCGCGAAACGCAATTCCAATTCTCTCAATCGTGTATCTCGTGCTGCGACTGAAAGGCTTCCTTTGGAGCACGTAACGAATTTCTAAACAGGTCTAAGGCTACTACTTCAGAACTCCCAGCCTCGAGTTATCGAATGTCTCAGCTGGAACAAAATAGGAAAAGTTGAGCTTCGGCTTTAGGCACGATAAGGTTGAATAAAACGATAGGTTATTGTGCGTTTTGCAAAACGATGTGCAAGGCAGCATCCTTTGAAAACGTTTCTCGTAATTATTCGCAGCTGGATTCTACCGTTCTTACCGCTACTAATGGCCATAATTGGACTCGTCGGCGCTGTGTCAAAACAAGAAACGCCTGCAGTGCTCGCAAAAACGCTCCATTCATTTTGCACGGCATAGTGTAAACAATGGCGCGTGACGTGAATCTCCTATCGTTTAAAGAACAGAAACAATTGACAAAGAGAGATTTATGCTTATCAGACAGCGCGTCAAGACGTATATTTACAGTAGCTTTAATAAGGACATTAGAGTACTGGGTACTCTTACAGACCCGGCCTTACAAATCCCTCGATTCTCTATCTGAAACAAAAATTATTTATTAAATTATTAAATTACAGTAGCTCACTAAATATTAGGAAATGATTCAGTGGTGAAGCTATATCAGGGTAATAATTAAGTGCAGCAGATTAAGCTAGAGTTATTTATAGAAGGTGAATTTCACATTGTCACAATTAGGACATATCCTATTTCCTTAAAAACTAAAATTATTGTAATCTGCATCAACCACTAGTGATGTAGCTCCTTAAAATCTTATTTTTTTTTACTTGTAGCCATCTCTATGCAAAGTGACCCTATGCGCCAAAATGTACTCATCGATGTCGTCCATCAACTGGATGTTCGTCGAAGGACTTCTTCTGCATTCTAAATTAACAACATCGATCTTTCGGAAAGACGCACCGTTTCCGCTCTACTACGCCATCGGATGGGGTACGTTTGCAATGAGATTTTTTAGCGACACGCGCCTTTGGCTAAGTTAATCCATCATCCACTTCGCCAAAATTTAATGCCAGTTGGCCTTTCCCTAGTTGCATTCTCTTCCCCTTTTCTAAAGGTAAGCAAGCCTTACTCATCAAAATGCTTAACAGTGATCCGGCAATATCCCACAAAGTAGGACACTTGAAGAAGAAAAAAAAAAATTCAACTTTTCGGTTCATCCTTTAACATCAATTCTAAAGCCACTTGCGCTCTTCATATATATATATATATATAGACCTATTCTAAAAACTTACTTACCACAACTCGACCGTGATGTTACTGATCTAAATGCTCTGTCTTCCGTTTTGGCTTGAGATGATACATTGGCCAAGCCGGTAATCCGTTCATCGACCATGTGCAGTTGTAAATTAAACGAAGGCGCTGAGCTACAGTATTAGAACGCAGTGCTACGAGAACAATACGTACAAGGTTTCTCCTTCTTTACCGACACAGGTTGGCTTGCACGTGTCGCTGGCAGTATCTGAAGCAGCGATCCTTGCCCTTAAAACGATGAAATTGTAAAGGACCCATAACTTATATCGTACGATTGCCCCTACGCCCAAGTGCAGTATTAAAGGATCAAAACCATTTTAGAAAGTCGAATTAAAGACTTGAATTTGCCCCATCAAACTGCGCACTGTTAAACGACGTAAAAAATGACGTTTGAGTTTGCTGCGCTCGTATCTCTTAGATCCCGGAGCAGCCATCGCCGTCGCCGTCGCCCTCGGACCAATAGGGGTTTTAGCTTGTAGTATAAGTGGTAGTAAAGTGCTCCTTTTAATATGGGATTTTTCCCAGTGTTTTCCTTCAGGTATGGTATTTTCATGTTGCGTGGTTGATCACATACAGATTAAAATGGTTGCTGTTCGGAGCAGCTATAGTCAACTAACAATTACATATAATTCACTTATTATTACGTTTAGGAAGGTAACGTTAGTTACCTCTGCAACTCTGATTACGGTTGTTACGTCTATGTATTTACCTCAGCATAACTGTAGTGAGTGATTAGCATGTTATTTGTCGCTAGCTAATTACTAGTTTTCAAAGAAACAAACATTATCTTAGCGCAAGTATTACCGAACAATCTACCTAGATCGGCTAAAAATAAACCGACTAGCATTACGAGCTTCGTGGATCTGGTGGCCCATCCGAGCTGATCCTCTGTTCCAGCCCAGAGTTTATGATGTTTGCCTACAGTCGAGATGTAATCATTACCGTTATCCGAAGCCAACTTTCAACTTATTTAAGTATGTATTGTTTACCTTAATATACGTCCTAACGGATTCTACTTTATGTGCATATGCTTCTGCTGAAATTTATAGATCTCTCTATCTAGGTATGCGTCTGTCTCCTCTGGCTGGCTATATCGAGTGATTGCTACAATATAATTAGCCGATAGAGATTAGCTGATTGAGAGATAACATGAAAACAACTCTTGCTAGTAGGGTACTTTCTGGTCAAACTTAGGCAAGTTTGTTAGGGCGATTTGTCCGGCAACCATCAAGGATGTCTGGATTTTTTTCTGATCAGAATCAAAGAAACGTTATAGTAGAAAGCCGTGGTTACCTGTTAACGAAGTGGCGGAATGAGAGCAACCCACCTGTAGGTCTGTACATTAGCAAGAGTTTAGAGGCATCAGACAGAGGGTCAGAAGCACAGACTAGCACCATAGATACGTATCAAAAGGTATAGTGAGGTGTATCAAAGGTATAGTTGGAAATTTTAACATCTGGATTGTATTATATATATATATATAAATAAAGCAGGCTGTATTTAGTATGGTAACTGATAGATTGCAGGGGACAATCAGGACAGAAGAATGGGAAAGTAATGAAGTTTCTGGAACATCTTAGGAAGAAAAAGCGATAACTGGAAGATGTAATGGTATATGTGCCACTGAATGAATTTAACGAAGATATAGATTAGATTATGTTGAATCACTGCAACAATGGAATTGAATAACTGTAGCAGAGTTTCTAAAATAAGGTACTTAATAATAGACTGAACTAGGTAACTGAAATTATCGTAACGGGATAATTGCACAGAGGTTTTAAATATAGCGTGACGTCAATCAGAATCTAATAATTTTAAGCAGGCCGAAGGTTTTGTAGGGGCCGGATATCGTTAATGTACTTTTTCCTTCGCACATAATTGATACAATTGGCATCGATAGATTTGAACAAATCCTAGATAGTACTTAAATTTACCTATTTTTTCATCAGATTGAGTGATCCAAAGATGATATTTGTGAGCAACACAATAACAAACGATAATTTGTAAATAACACATTCGTAGATTACTTTTTGTTTTGCAAGAGCTAGATACGGAACTTCCATTAACAGGCCGAGGCCTCTCTTCTAAAAAGCCGACACGATTTTGTAGGCCTTAGCTCACATTTTCGCAATGCAATGCCCACTTGTTTCATACTCCCCGTTGCCCCAAGCTCTGGGCCGGTATGTATTTCAACACTACTTCGAGTTCGTTCATTGTGTTAAGAGATCGGTGCGTACTTAGACGCACCTAGCACGACATATTCAGCAATAGTTAGCATCAAGTAAAAGTATCTCGTGACGAGAGCCGCTCAGCCCCGGTACATTATATAGAGTTGAATAAATCTAACGGGATAAGTGATTAGATCTTATTGTCTATGTTGTGAGCCACCGTTTCACAGTCGTTGGCGTGGGTGACTGCCGTCGTCACAGACAATCTTTCTTCGGCTGTTGCACCAGGTGGTAAATACTGTCGAAGTAGTCACGGCGACATGGCCTGTCGTAATATTCTATATTCGTCGTTAGCTTGTACCCTCCGTATGTACGTTTTATATGCCCCGATAATGCCCCGAATCGAACCATCTTCCTCGCATTCGCATGGAATTGGCTGAGTCTAGGTTTGGTTGATAATTTTCTTGAGACCCGTCGACCTGCACAAAAGCCCTCAAGGTTTTAGTAGTAAACAACGAAGTTTCGGATTATCGTTGTTTTTTCTACCTGTTCTTATTATAGATGTATAGGTGATAAACAAAGATGTTTACTTTGGCTTTCACAATCCGGTGGAGGGGCTCGGATAAAAAATATGCATTGGCTTCGATATGACGCCTCCAACAAATCCAGAGACATTAATTTACAAACTAAGCTTTTTAAAATGTTCCCACGTTTATGCTGCTTATTGATCCATAGTTTGCCAGGCTACAGTGCCTTATCCTCATACTCTTTTTTTTTTGTTCAGGTATGTTACGTACTTGGCCTGAGTTCTTCAGCATTTTTCAGAAGCAAGTGTAGTGCGTTCGCCTAGCGGTTTGAAGATTTATTCGGTGGTTACAGAAGTCCACTTTTCATACTTCTATGCTCTTCGTCATACTGCCCTTAGTCCTACCAAGAATCTTTGAGAATATTTAGCAATTTTCTGTTGTAGCCTATTTTGCGTTGCCTATGCAGACCTTTCAACCTTACTTTTCGAATTAGTTACAGTTGTAGCAGCTATTCTGCGCTTGAGCAATACTGACGCTAACAGAAACGCCAAACTCCTAAACTTCAATATCGGTTTCTCCTCTTCCCAAGGAAAATAGCTTAAACGATACGTATTCATATTTGGAATGGACACGAAAAAGTAGCACCCAATGCTGCGCTGACAGCTGGGTCATATGTGTGCGCACCTGCGCCGAAAGGAGGAGTAGGTTGGTGTTAACATAAAATCTAGCTATCACAGCGTTGCATGGACGTTAGGTTTCAGCAGAGAGATTGATATTATCATACTTTCTGAACCGTCGAACAAAATAGATAATGTAGGTTTCGAGTCGCTTATTCTCCCGATCGAGACTACGAAGCTTTCTAGGTCCAGAAAAGGTCAACTAGTGGACAAGTATGTCCCACTACTGGTTTACTTCGAGACGCGATAGACAAGGAAATTACAAATGGTGGGTGTATGGCTGGCTATAAGCTCCCAGAGCAGTGACACAGGTGTGGAAAGGACAACGGGGGTACTTCTGACACATGTTAAATAACCATCAATTTAACCTAAATAGTTCAAAAGTTATTCAGCTATTTATATTTTGCCGGATTCGTTCGACAAATATATATATA